AACTCCTGCAGCTCAATTCCAGAAAAATAAATGACCCAATCAAAAAATGGGCCAAAGATCTAAACAGACATTTCTCCAAAGAAGGCATACAGATGGCTAACAAACACATGAAAAGATGCTCAACATCACTCATTATCAGAGAAATGCAAATCAAAACCACAATGAGGTACCATTACACATCAGTCAGAATGGCTGCTATCCAAAAGTCTACAAGCAATAAATGCTGGAGAGGGTGTGGAGAAAAGGGAACCCTCTTACACTGTTGGTGGGAATGCAAACTAGTACAGCCACTATGGAGAACAGTGTGGAGATTCCTGGAAAAACTGGAAATAGAACTGCCATATGACCCAGCAATCCCACTCCTGGGCATACACACCGAGGAAACCAGAACTGAAAGAGACACGTGCACCCCAATGTTCATCACAGCACTGTTTATAATAGCCAGGACATGGAAGCAACCTAGATGCCCATCAGCAGACGAATGGATAAGAAAACTGTGGTACATACATATACACCATGGAATATTACTCAGCCATTAAAAAGAATTCATTTGAATCAGTTCTAATGAGATGGATGAAACTGGAGCCCATTATACAGAGTGAAGTAAGCCAGAAAGATAAACACAAATACAGTATACTAATGCATATATATGGAATTTGAAAGATGGTAATGATAACCCTATATGCAAGACAGAAAAAGAGACACAGATGTATAGAACAGACTTTTGGACTCTATGGGAGAAGGCGAGGGTGGGATGATCTGAGAGAACAGCATCGAAACATGTATATTATCAAGTGTGAAACAGATCGCCAGTCCAGGTTGGATGCATGAGATAAGTGCTCAGGGCTGGTGCACTGGGATGACCCAGAGGGATGGGATGGGGAGGGAGGTGGGAGGGGAGTTCAGGATGGGGAACACATGTAAATCCATGGCTGATTCATGTCAATGTATGGCAAAAACCACTACAATATTGTAAAGTAATTAGCCTCTAACTAATAAGGATAAATTTTAAAAAATGAAAAAAAAAGAAAGAAAGAAAACTGTGGTACATATACACAATGGAATATTACTCAACCATTAAAAAGAATACATTTGAATCAGTTCTAATGAGATGGATGAAACTGGAGTCCATTATACAGAGTGAAGTAAGCTAGAAAGATAGACACCACTACAGTATACTAACGCATATATATGGAATTTAAAAAGATGGTAACAAAAAAATAAAAAATAAAAAGATGGTAACAATAACCCTATATGCAGGACAGAAAAAGAGACACAGATGTATAGAACAGACTTTTGGACTCTGTGGGAGAAGGCGAGGGTGAGATGATCTCAGAGAATAGCATTGAAATATGTATATTATCAAGTGTGAAACAGATCGCCAGCCCAGGTTGGATGCATGAGACAAGTGCTCGGGGCTGGTGCATTGGGAAGACCTGGGTGGGGGGGGAGGGGAATAAAGGACAGAAACGGTAAGGACCTAACAGAGGCAGAAGAAATTAGGAAGAGGTGACAAGAATACACAGAAGAACTATCTTGAGGAAACAAAAATTTAGAGTTTATTAGTATTATGTGGATTACACGAGAAGATTTGATATCTAGTGGAAATGGGGGAAAAAAACGCCCAAACTAAACAAAAAATAAAAGTTGGAACTAAAAATCTTGTGTTTAATCTACATTTCTACTTATGATAGATAGTAATTACCAAAAATAGCCATTTTGCTTCTGTTATCTAACTGCTGGAATATTTAGAGTAAATGTGTGTTGCAGGCTCTCTTTAAACTTTGCACTGGGCCTCCTTATCTGGGCTTGTACAAATATAATCTTTTCTGAACTATACAGGAAAGGTCTTTGGAGAAGGAAATGGCAATCCACTGCAGTATTTGCCTGCAGAATCCCAGGGACGGGGGAGCCTGGTGGGCTGCCATCTATGGGATCACACGGAGTCGGACACAACTGAAGTGACTTAGCAGCAGCAGCAGGAAGCATTACTATGAACAAAGCTAGTGGAGTTGATGGAATTCCAATTGAGCTATTTCAAATCCTAAAATATAATGCTGTGAAAGTGCTGCACTCACTATGTCAGCAAACTTGAAAAACTCAGCAGTGGCCACAGGACTGGAAAAGGTCAGTTTTCATTCCAATCCCAAAGAAGGGCAATGCCAAAAAATTTTCAAACTTCCGTGCAATTGCATTCATTTCACATACTAGTAAAGCATGGCCAAAATCCTTAAAATTAGGCTTCAACAGTATGAACCAAGAACTTACAGATATATAAGCTGGGTTTAGAAAAGGCAGAGGAACCAGAGATCAAATTGCTAACATTCATTGGATCATAGAGAAAGCAAGGGAATTCCAGAAAAACATCTACTTCTGCTTCACTGACTACACTAAAGCCTTTGTGTGGATCACAACAAATTGTGGAAAATTCTTAAAGAGATGGAAATACCAGACCACCTTATCTGTTTCCTGAGAAATCTGTATGCAGGTTAAGAAGCAACAGTTAGAACTGGACATGGAACAACAGACTGGTTCAAAACTGGGGAAGGGGTACATCAAGGCCGTGTATTGTTACCCTGCCTATTTAACTTATGTGCAGTGTACATCATGCAAAATGCCAGGCTGGATGAATCACAAGCTGGAATCAAGACTGCCGGGAGAAATATCAGCAACCTCAGATATGCAGATAATACTACTCTAAATGACAGAAACTGAAGAGAAACTAAAGAGCCTCTTGCTGAGGGTGAAAGGCAAGCATAAAAATCTGAGCTTAAAGCTCAACAAAAAACAAAAATCACGGCATCCAGTCCCATCACTTCATGGCAAGTAGAAGAGGGAAAAGTGGAAGTGTTACCGAAATCGCAAGTCCGTGAGTCCGATGCACAGTGAGGCCCATAAATACTAAACATAAGAGTTTGGAAGAGAGAAAGGTTTATTATAGATTCATACAAGAAGATGGGTGGCTCATATCCTAGAACCCCAAAATTACTGAAGGCTGTCAGCAAGTCCCTTTAAAAGCAAAAGGTGAGGGATGGGTGTGGTTAGTTGTTATAGACTTCCAGGCGTCAGATCCTCTGTTCTCAAGGTCAGGTCATGGTCAGGTAATAATGTTTCTGAAAATCTCTACCAGATGAATATTATTCTCTGTCTTGACCAGAAAGGGCAAAGTCCCAAGGCACAACTTTTACCCTCCAAGGTCCCAGTCCTGGCTAAGAGGAGGCAGATCTCACTTGGCAGCTCCTTCAAGGCCAAGTTCCCATACCCTACCCAGCTGTCATCCCTGAGGGAGCCAGGCATCCAACCCAACTGGCCCTCAGTCTCCTCAGGCCATCCAAATGGGGAGACCAGGTCTCACAAACTGTGACTTATACAGATGGTCACTGCTAGTGGGTCACAGAGACAGGGATGGGAAGAGGTTCACTGCTTCTCAAAGTCTTGGCCCCAGCTAGTGGAGGGCCTTAGTGAGGGCTCTGGAGCCCTGCAGGACATAGTCCCTTGGCTCCCTAGTCTGCTCCCTGGGCCCTCCAGCTCACCTGCTGGCCCAAGGTTGGGTAAACTGGAGGGCCTCCAGGAGAAGGCCTGCATCTGCCTTTTATGTCACTCTCCACCTGATAACCACCACCCCAAGGATTGTTGACTGAATCATTTCCCCAGTGGTCCCCTGTTGACATTTACCAGTGGGCAGGACCCACTGCAGTGTTGACCAATAGCTGAGCAGGACCTGTTGCCTAGTAACAGGGTGCAGAGTAATGAGATACAGCAATGCTACCTGCTAAGGGCTGTGCTCATCCTGCTCTGTTAGAGAAGCAGTGACAGACTTTATTTTCTTGGGATCCAAAATCACTGAAGCTCCATTACTTTGGCCACCTGATGCAAAAAGCGAACTGACTGGAAAAGACCCTGATACTGGGAAAGGTTGAGAGCAGGAGGAGAAGGGAGCGGCGGAAGGAGGATGAGATGGTTAGATAGCATCACTCACTCAGTGGACATGAATCTGAGCAAATTCCGGGAGATAGTGAAGGACAGGGAAGCCTGGAGTGCTGCAGTCCATAGGGTCGAAGAGTCTGACACGACTTAGCGATTGAACATTAACAGAAAGGTTTCTATTGACAACGGAATGAAAAACATACTGGAGCAGAGGGAAACTGACTTCTTCTAAATGAAAATTTATTGATTCCCAAATTCTGTCCGTGGGGTAAAGGGCTCCTGGTGTCACAGTGTGGTATCATTCCACAGCCGGGATAAACTTGCGTACTGGGGCGGGGAGCCTGGGGTGGCCTCAACGCAGGAGTGGGCGGGGCTGAAGAGTTGAGAAGGCCTTGAAATTAAAAGAGCTTGCTCCTTGGAAGAAAAGTTATGACCAACCTAGACAGCATATTAAAAAGCAGAGACATTACTTTGCCAACAAAGCTCCGTCTAGTCAAAGCTATGGTTTTTCCTGTAGTCATGTATGGATGTGAGAGTTGAACTAGAAAGAAAGCTGAGCGGAAGAATTGATGCTTTTGAACTGTGGTGTTGAAGACTCTTGAGAGTCCCTTGGACTGCAAGGAGATCCAACCAGTCTATCCTAAAGGAAATCAATCCTGAGTATTCATTGGAAGGACTGATGTTGAAGCTGAAACTCGAATACCTTAGGCACCTGATGTGAAGAGCTGACTCATTTGAAAAGACCCTGATGCTGGGAAAGATTGAAGGCAAGAGAAGGGGACGACAGAGGATGAGATGGTTGGATGGCATAATCGACTCAATGGAACTGATTTTGAGTAAGCTCCGGGAGTTGGTGATGGACAGGGAAGCCTGGCGTGGGGTCGCAAAGAGTCGGACACGACTTAGGAACTGAACTGAGTTGGCTGTACTGGGAACTTCTCGACGCTCTGCTACTTCTGTCTGTAGACGACGGCTTCCGCCGCCCGCCCGCAGGTAGTGTTATCGAGCGCCGAGCACAGAGAACGGCGCTTGGTGAGGGGCTTGGTGTTGGCAGCGCAGTTTCCTTAGGCGTTATGAGTTTGGCTGGGGGCCGCGCCCCCCGGAAGACCGCGGGGAACCGGCTCTCTGGGCTTCTGGAAGCAGAGGAGGAAGATGAGTTCTACCAGACGACTTATGGGGGTTTCACTGAGGCAAGAGCCGGGCCCAGGAAGAGGGAGGGAATAAATCTAAAAGGAGTCCTGGCGGAGAGAGAAACCTCGGACAAAGAAGGGGGCGGGGGAGAGGAGTCCTGGTAGTTGGTACTGGAGATGGGGTGGGCGAGATGAGGGAATAAACTGGAGTCCTAGCAGGGGGAGCCCTGAACGGTGTTGGAGGGGTCAGGAATGGAGTTGTCCGAAGGACCCCAGACTATGGCTGAAAACTACTGTGTATTTCCTTAACTGCATCTCTCAGCGGTTCTGACGTCTAGCATACGCCAGGCACATCCTAGTCACGCGGTGTATATTCGTTGGCCTACGGCCTGGTTATTCACCTGAACTGTAGAAAAGAATCTCTCAGAAAAAAAGATAGAGGGACTTAGCCAACTCCTTTTTTCAGCTTTCAAATGTCGTTGTAAATGTTTTCTTAAATAACTGTTTCTTGACCTAAAAAGTGACCCCATGTGTGTCCTTCATAGAACATATTTCAATTTGTAGTTAGATATAGTTTGTTTGTTTGTACCTTCCAATAGACTGTAAATTCTGTAAGGTTAGAGATGGTCTGTTTTGTTCAACAGTGTACATCCGAGTGCCTAGTCCAATAACTGGATTGAGTTGACACTTGTTAAATTTGTATTGAATCTGCCCATTCTTTAAATGTGTTAAGTGCCTAAGGCAAGCCAAGCACTGTGATAGGCGCTGTGGAAACAGAGAGTATTAAAAACACCACCTTACCCTTACGTTTTCCAGACTCCAGTGGAGGACCTAGCTGAGTTAACAGTCAGTTAAAATACAGTGCGATAAGGAGAAAAGTGTTAAGCATAGGGTGCTATGGTAACACTTGGGAGACAAAGTTGTTTGGGATGGGCATCCCTGGGAAACGTGATGTTTAAGCTGAGGACAGTTTGAAAAGTGAGCCTTGGCTGGATGGAGAGCACTAGGACTGGAAGCAGGGAGAGAAGGGAGGTTAGTCCTGGAAGAGGGTGGGGCAGAATATGTAAAGGCACTGACGTCCTGCTCTGGGACCTGCACAGCTACTGTCATACTCCAAACCAGGAAGGAGAATAATGGAAGGAGTAGGGCCCATTCTTGTAGGGTTTTGTGAGCCATGTTAAGTTTTATTCTTCATTCAGAGGGCTGAGAAGATTATTTCATGGGATTTGTACTTTGGAAAGATCACTCTATAATGCGGAAAATGGTAGAAGGAGGCAGTGAGAGTAGAGATACATGAATAGGAGGAGTCAAGAGAAACTAAGGAATAAGAATCCACAGGACTTGGTGACTGACTAGGAATCATTACTTAACACAGCCATAACCAATTAGTTTAAAATAGAACCTTCTCATCTCTCCTCCAAAGGCCATTTTCCTATTCCTGTCATTTTACGAGTCGTTATTTAATATGTACCCTTCATGCTTCCAAAAAGGATTTAAGAAGGCTTATGATATAAACAAAAAGTAGGAATGGTAAAAATAGACAGATGAGAAGTAATTGTAGAGGCTCCAATGGTAATAACAGTTGATATTAAATTTAGCTATGAGTTTCCCGGCAGCCAAATCCTGAATTTCTTTTTTTGTAAGAAAGAAGCATTTAAGTTCTTTTCAAGTGATATACTTATTCAGCATTAAGTCCTAAGGAGAATTACATCCTTATAAATAAAGTTAACAGGGGTTTTGTAGATGATGTAAAAGCATTCTCTTAACTAGTCATGTCTCTTAATGACCTGGGATAAAAGCCAAAAGAATGATAGTAAATCTGTAACTTAGTGAAAGCATTTCAGTTGGGCACTAAGCTAATGTGTAGTTGAACTACTACCCTCTGGTGATATGATTTAATACCAGGTCAGGGCTGAGGGGATTAATGTGTTCTCAGGCTGTTTTTCACAAACATTAGTTGGGAGGAAATGATGGTCACCGGTACAAGATTGAATACTGGCTGCCTTGTCAACTGTGTTATTTGCTTGCTTTGACACCGCTGTACCAAGATTAGCCCATCAGTCTCATCAGTGATTGAAGAGAAAGGCCCATGTTTGAGGTGCTGCCCCGCCCAATTAACTCCCCTCCTCCCAAGCATTTTTTTTCTCTCTTTCTTTTCCTGTGTGGCTGCTGTTTTAGCCCAAACTCAGGCTTAGGCACCACTACATGTTTTCTACTCCAGTCCATCCCACCACCTCCAGAACTTTCTGAAACACCTTGTATGTAGTTTTTTTCTCCTCCCCAAATCTTCAGTGTCTTCCCATTATACATGGTGTGAAATGAAAGTTGCTCAGTTGTGTCTGACTCTTTGCAACTGCATGCATTATACAGCCTGCCAGACTCCTCTGTTTATGGAATTCTCCAGGCCAGAATTCTGGAGTGGGTAGCCATTCCTTTCTCCAAGGGATCGTCCCAACCCAGGGATCGAACACAGGTCTCCCGCATTGCAGGTGGACTCTACCATCTGAGCAACCAGGGAAGCTCATACATGGTGGTAGGACCCAATTCTTTTTCTGTCCCAACTCACCTGAGGCATGAGACAGATTTCTCAGTAACTTTAGCTTACTTCAATGGTGATTATCAGTGCTGGACCAAGTAAGAAGAGGGAGAAGATTGAGAATCACTGTCCTGCCAGTTAAGATCATAAGTTTAAAAGTTAAATATCATTAAGTCATGACATTTACATTTCTCTGTGGATCAAATCCCTGGAGAAGGAAATGGCAACCCACTTCAGTATTCTTGCCTGGAAAATTCCATGGGCAGAGGAAACTGGCCAGCTTCAGTCCATGGGGTCACAAAGAGTTGGACACAACTGAGCACATAGATTGAATGCAACCTTCTTTTCAAATCTTGTAGCCCTATACGGCATTCAGTTAATGTTGGAAGGAGTCTGTGGTGGAGCCAAAGGCAGTCAGCTAGGAAGACTTCTTGCCAGAGACAAACCTGCTTTGCTTAGGTCTAAATCCTTATTCCATAAACATGCTGTACACATTCTTGCTTCTGCACCTTTGTTCCTGTCATTTGCTCTGCCTATGATTCCCTCTTCCCTCTTGGCTGTCTAAATACTAGCAGTATTTTAAACCATGGCTCAAGTTCTTTTTATTTAAAGTCTGAAGCAGAATTTGTAAACTACAACCTGCTGGCTGAATCTGACCCACTATCTGTTTTAATCTGGTCCTTTGCAGAAAGTTTGCCAACCCTTGGTCTAAAGGAATAAAGTCTAACATTTAGACTTCTCCAGGCCATCAGTCCATAGCAGGTGTGCCTTCCTCTGATCACCTATAACATTTTATTGCCATTTGGTAGTTTATGTGTTGCCCTGTATTAAAGCTTCCATTTATAATGATGTCTTTTCCTAAACCATATCCTTTTGTACCCCAGCAGTTAACACAGTGTGCTACAGGTAAAGCGCAGTCAGTTAACGTTGGAAGGGGTGGTGCTGGAGCCAAAGACCATCAGCCCTTCTTGCCTGAGGCAAATGAAAGGCTAGGCTGGGAAGGAGAGTGGGGCAGCCCTTATCAATAGGCAAAGGGATTCTGTTCCTCCTGGAGGGGCATTAATAACTGATGCCAGTGAGAACCGCATCTCCCTATGTCCTCAGGAATCAGGAGATGATGAGTATCAAGGGGACCAGTCAGACACAGAGGATGAGGTGGACTCTGACTTTGACATCGATGAAGGGGATGAACCATCCAGTGATGGAGAAGCAGAAGAGCCAAGGAGGAAGCGCCGAGTAGTCACCAAAGCATATAAGGTGCAGGGGAGGCCTGGTTTTCTTGGACCTCCTTAATTTGTATTCTCCCTTTCATCAGGTCCCATTATGTCCCACACAGATCCCACTTCCTGCTGTACTGGTTTTCTCTTCCTAAGGTCTTCATTGTCTTTCTCCAATATCTTCTCTTCCCTGGTATCTGATTTCACTCTGTCTCCAGGAACCTCTCAAGAGCTTGAGGCCTCGAAAGGTCAGCACCCCAGCTGGTAGCTCTCAGAAGACCCGAGAAGAGAAGGCACTGCTTCCATTAGAACTACAGGATGATGGCACTGACAGTGAGTGGGGATGTTTGGGTCAATAGACAAAATTGAAGTATTATGATAAAATACTGTATTAGTGTTAAGTTTCCTGAAGTTGGTAACTTTACTATGAGCATGTAGGAATAATTCTTATTAGGAAATATACACCGAGTATTTAGGGAGGAGAGCCATGATGTTGATTTGCATAACTTAACTCAGATTATTCAGAAAATACGCACACACAGATTGCAAATAGGGCAAAATGTTAACAGATGATTTGGCAAAGGATTCATGGGTGTTCTTTGTACTATTCTCAACTTTTTTGTAAGTTTGAAATGATTTCCAAATAAAAAGCTTTAAAATTAAATTCAGAGAAGGTAGACATGAGTTCAAAGATTTCTTCCTCTATGATTTCCTTCCCAGGTCGGAAGTCCATGCGTCAGTCTACAGCTGAGCACACACGACAGACATTCCTTCGGGTACAGGAGAGGCAGGGCCAGTCACGGCGACGGAAGGGGCCCCACTGTGAGCGGCCACTGACCCAGGAAGAGCTGCTCAGGGAGGCCAAGATCACAGAGGAGCTCAACTTACGTTCACTGGGTCAGTCTTTGGTTTTGAGAACAGTGGGTAGAGGGACTGAGAAGCATGAGAAAAAGTTAGATCTAGAGGCCCCAAAGAATTGGACAGGTGGAGATTTGGGACAAGAGAAATCAGAAGAAAGATATGGGGAAAGAAAGTGATTAGGAGCAAGGAAGTAGGCAGTAATGAGGGCCCTGAAGAACAACTTATATTGAAGTACTTTGGTATAAAATAAGAGTTGTATGGAAATGAGTTCAGATTTTAGCTCCACTGTTCACTTGCTATAAAACTGCAGGCAAATTACTTACAACCTGTTTGCATCTTTCTTTCCTTGTTCACAAAATGCAGTGAGATGATTACGCTACTTTAATGATCATGAAAATTAGAAATTCAGTAGAATCAGTCCATTCATGAGATACATTGGTTTAAGGTAAAAATTCTATAAAATCTCTTCAGTTTATGTGCTATTGGGCACACAGTCCTATATAGGAACATACTGTACATTTCTTTAAGGGATGGTTAGAATTCTCAGATCATGAGAAATGAATGAGGGAACAGCAGATTTCACACCTCCCATTACGTGCTCACTCTGGAGCATACGTGCATTGAGTGAAATAACAGGTGAAATCTCCTACAATATTTGATTTGCTATTTCTCTCTCTCTGAATCTTTCTTTGACCAAGCACATATAATTGAATGTGCATAACCCAAATACAGTTTTGCTGTCGTGTGGAAGATTGTTTACCCAGAATGTCTGGGACCCAACTCATTTTAGTTCAGTGGTATCCTTGGTTTCCTTAGGACTTCCTTGGTGGCTCAGATGGTTATGTGTCTGCCTATAATGCAGGAGACCCGGGTTCAATCCCTGGGTCGGGAAGATCTCCTGGAGAAGGAAATGGCAACCCACTCCAGTATACTTGCCTGGAAAATCCCATGGACGGAGGAGCCTGGTAGGCTACAGTCCATGGGGTCAAAAAGAGTCGGACACGACTGAGTGACTTTACTTTCACTTAACTCATTTTAATTTAATGGTATCAGTAGTTTTGAAATGTAGATACCTTCACTCCAGAAAGTTCCCTAGTGGTCTAGTGGTTAGGACTTGGTGGTCTCACTGCCTCAGCCCGGGTTCTATTCCTGGTCAGGGAAGCACATCTTTGGGGCTTCCCTGATAGCTCAGTTGGTAAAGTGCAGGAAACCTGGGTTTGAGTCTGTGTTGGGAATATCTGCTGGAGAAGGGTTAGGCTACCCACTCACTCCAGTATTCTTGGGCTTCCCTGGTGGCTCAGCTGGTAAAGAATCCAACTGCAATGTGGGAGACTTGGGTTCGATACCTGGGTTGGGAAGATGCCCTGGAGAAGGGAAAGGCTACCCACTCCAGTATTCTGGCCTGGAGAATTCCATGGACTGTATAGTCCATGGGGTCGCAAAGAGTTGGACGTGACTGAGTGACTTTCACTTTCACTCCAAAAGACCACAAAAGATTTAATTAATTTTCAACATTTTCAGGGTGTATTGTCGTGACTGTTTAAAAATATTTCCGTTTGGCTGTGCTGGGTCTTCGTCCTGCCCTCAGGCTGTCTCACTGCTGTGAGCAGTTTCCTCATTGTCGCAGGGCGGCTTCTCGTGTGGACACAGGCTCTCGGGCATGAGGGCTCACTCTCTGAGGTGCATGGGCTTAGTCGCTCCACGGCGTGTGGCATCTTCCTGGACTAGGATCAAACTAGTGTCCTCAGCCTCGACAGAGCAGATTCTTTGTTTTTGATTGAATGATAGTTACAGTATTGTATTGGTTTCTGTCATACATCAACATGGATCAGCCATAGGTAAACATATGTCCCCTTCCTCTTGAGTCTCCCTCCCACCCCATCCCACCCTTCTAGGTTGTCACAGAGCCCCAGTTTGAGTTTCCTGAATCGTACAGCAAATTCCCACTGGTTATCTATTTTACATATGGTAGTGGTAGTGTATATGTTTCCGTGCTACTTTCTCCATTCATCCCACCCTCTCCTTCTTACCACCCCCATGTCCATAAGTCTGTTCTCTATGTCTGCATCTCTCTTGCTGCCCTGAGAATAGGTTCATCAGTACTACTTTCTAGATTCCATATGCATGCGTTAATATACTGTATTTATCTTTCTCTTTCTGACATACTTCACTCTGTGTAATAGGCTCTAGGTTCACTCATCTCATTAGCACTGACTCAAACTAGTTCCTTTTTATGGCTGAGTAATATTGCATTGTATATATGTACCACAGCTTCTTTATCCGTTCATCTGTTGTTAGACATCTAGGTTACTTCTGTGTCCTAGTTATTGTAAATAGTGCTGGCAGGCAGATTCCTAACCACTGGACCAACAGGGAAGTCCAGCTGTTGTGACTTTTTAAAAAAAATTATTATTATCTTGACTTTAAAATGGGAAATATACCCTTTATTTGTATAATGGCAATGCCATGCTTTAAAACAGTGGTTATCTCTTAAAACATGTAAATGACTGAGAAATATCACAAATAATGAGGTCACTTGATGTCACTATAATTATAATCTGCATCCTTTGACTACATTGATGGTTTCAGGGCACTGTAAAGAGAGTGATTCCCAGGCTTCTGACATAGGAGATCCTGGAGGGGCATGTTTAGCAGGAAAAAAAAATTATAAGTTCATTTTTGAACATGTTGGATTTGGGATGTCTGTGAGCAATTCATGCAGTGCTGAGAAATCAGATAAACATACAAATCTGGTACTTGGACAAGATATCTGGGCTAGAAATACAAATTTGGAAGTTTTTGAATATGGATGGTAATTGACACTGGAGTGGATGAGATCACTCAGGGAGAAAACATAGAGGGAGAAAGGTAGGCAGAAGCTCAAGAAGGTCCTGCAGACACTAAAAAGTAATGGTCTCCTACAAGAGGAGGAACTTAGAAAAGGATCTGAGGGAAGGCCAGAGAGTGGGAAATGCCAGGAAAATTTGTCTTAAGAACTCTAAGGAAAGAATGTTTTGGGGGAGTAGCTGCTCAATCTTGCTGAGATGCCAGTGAAGAGAACTGAGAAGTGTCCATTGGTTTTGGTGACATGGGAGTCAGAAATGACCTTAGGGAGCACTTTTTGGGGAGCAAGACATTGGGAAGTTTTAAAGCCAAACCTTTAAAATTTGGCCATGAAGGGTAGGAGAGGAACAGTGAGGGGTCTGGGGTCAAGACAGGGTTTGTCCTTGTTCTATTTTATTCAAAGATTGGAGAGTACATATTTTTGGTGAGATGGAACAGAAAGAATTTTAAGACAGAAAAGAAAGGATCATTAATAGTGTAGTGTTTTGGAGAAGTGGGAGTCAGGGTGGGAGCTAGGGCACGGGTGGAAGAGTTGGTCTAAGTTAAGAGGAAGGAAGTAAGGGTGGCTCAGAGCTGTAGGGTTGTAAATCCAGAGCAAGACAGTATAATAGGTCTCATCTGATATTTTTTAGGCACTGCCATTTGTCAGTTGTTGGGGATAGACTTGGAAGCTTGAGAGTGAAGACTGTTTGAAATTGTGGAGATAGGATCATCTGCTGGTGTTGGCAGGTCTTTTGAAGTTTGGGAATATGAATTTCGCGCACTTTCATTCTACCTGTTGTGTAACTTTTCTGCAGTACTGCGCATCAATCCAGGTCTGGGTGAATGAGTTTAGATTGATAAGAGAATGACTGATGAGAAAAGGAAGGCTGGAAGGAGTGATAGAATGCAGAGAGTTTCAGGTACTCGAAGGACTGAAGAACTAGAAGAAGAACAGAGGTATCTAGCATAATGGAGCAGAGAGCTGAAGCGTGAGGCTCCACAGAACACGGGCACGTCCTGCCCGGGGTGTGGGAGAATGAGCAGCCTCCCCCAGAGGGTTGCAGGGAAGCAGTGGCCTCTGTGGATGACAGGTTTCCTGTAAGGCAAGTTTTGGAAGGTGTGCTGAGTGAGAAACTTGACGAAATAGATGAGTTGGCTGATTATAGAGCAGGGGTTACAGAGGGTACAGGAAAGTGTTGAGAGAAGAGTTAAAAGGTTGGCTCGAGGGGAAGAAAGTAGTATTACTGTCCAGAATTCAAGTGTAAAAGAGATTAAATCACTGGGTGGGGGTGGGGGGGTCAGGGGCGCAGATATCCAGAGGACTCTTCTGGTCATACTTTATCTAGAGCAATGGTCCCCAACCTTTTTGGCATCAAAGATCAATTTTGTGGGAGATAATTTTTCCACAAACCCAGGGTGAGGTGGATGGTTTCAGGATGATTCGAACACATTACATTTATTGTGCACTTTATTTCTAATCTAATGTTGCTACTGATTGGACAGAAGGTACCAGTCCTCAGCCCAGAGGTTGGGGACCCCTGCACTAGAGAATTGTGTTCAGAGTACCCACATTTAAGGGAGACAGAGGGCCAGGAATATTTTGATCTGTGTATACGTTAACAAATGTTTATGCAATTCCTGTAAGTGGAATGCTGCATGACCCTCATGATGTATAGGTACCATGTGTCACAGTCACTGCCCTTGAGAGACGTGTATACCAACAGTGAACTGCCACAGAGCAGTGCCACCTGGTCCAGACAGGGTGGCTAGTGACCTAGGGAGGAGGGCCTGAAAGAAGGAACAGTGACTCCGCTCGGCTCACTGTGAGAATGCAGATACGAAGTTGCCAGATTTTCTTCCTAGTTTTTCAAAAGGGACCAGAAACCTCTGTATTTGAATGTAATTTCCTGACTTTTAAATGTCAGCAACTAATTCAGATTTCTCTTTCAAACACTATGTAAATCAAGCAGGACATACAAGGGGGCTGCTATCTTGCAGCCTCTGCCATAGATCATGGTAAATACAGGAACAGAAGCATGTTTTTGGCACAGGTGGCAAAGGAGGGAGTGACTGAGAACCATGTTGTATGAGGAATGGTTCAGTAGAAGGGGTACTGTGATCTGCCTGAAGAGAGGTGAGCACTAACTTCACCTATTTAAAGGCCTGTCAAGTGGAAGACAGGTTAGCTTTGTGTTCCTTTTGGCCTTAAAAGGTGAAACTGTCAACAGGAAGTATATTTCAGCTCACAGTGGGAAAGAAGGTGGTTTCCCTGGTAGCTCACTGGTAAAGAATCCGCCTGCCAATGCAGGAGACGTGGGTTCGATCCCTGGTCCGGGAAGACCCTAAATGCTGCAGAGCAGCTCAGCCTGTGCGCTCCAGAGCCCAGGAGCCACAACTGTTGAGCCCGGGCACCTCGAGCCGGCACCCACAGCACCAGAAGCCGCCACAGTGTGATGCCCATCGCTCGAGAAAAGTCCATGCATCAGCGAAGATCCAGCACAGCCAAAAACAAACAACTCAGTAAATAAATAAATTATTTTTTAAAAGTAGGAAAGAATTCTAATCACTGGGGAATCCTAAAGAGACAGTGTGCTCCCTTGGATAGGTAGGAGCAAGTTGACAGAACAGTAACAAGAGGTTAGAGGAAGTGAGCAGGCTCCTTGACAAAGGATCCCTTTCAGCTCTGAAGTCCTACCGTTCTGAGCTGGTGAGGAATCAAGCGAACCTGAGAAATGATGAGCAGGGTGTATGTCAAGCTTATGAAAGCTTATGAAAGGGGAGATGCTTGAGGGCTTTAGAGGACTTTCCTAATTGGCTTGGGTGAGCAATGTCTAGACAGCCAGGAGGATAATTAAGAGACTATAGGACAGGACTGGGGTTTGGGAAGTGGGGAACTGACTATCTGCTCGTTCCTTCCTGCAGAGACATATGAGCGGCTCGAGGCTGACAAAAAGAAGCAGGTCCACAAGAAGCGGAAGTGCCCTGGGCCCATAATCACCTACCATTCAGTGACTGTGCCAGTGGTTGGGGAGCCAGGCCCGAAAGAAGAGAATGTCGATGTAGAAGGGTGAGTGAGTGAATCTCGGGGAAGAGAGTGTAATTTCTCTCTTCTGTATTCAGCTTGTGTTCCCTCAGCCCCATTTCACTTGCTCTCCTCACAGAGCTCTCTTAACACTTTGGTATCTTTCAGATCCTCTTCCCATCAGCTCCGATTTTTCTTACAGTCTCTCCCTTCTCCTGTTTTTTCCATCCAGCCCTGCTGTGTTTGTCCTGTCTGTCACTTCATACATTTTCTCAGACTGTTCCCATCCACTGCCGCCTCCTCTTTCTTCAGTTCTCTGATCTCTGTCTTTATCTGTTGTCTTCACCTCTCAGCTCTTTGTGTTTTTCTCTGTCTTTTCCCTCAGACTTGATCCTGCTCCCATGGCTTCTGCATTGACTCCCCGTGCTGGGACTGGACCCGTCATCCCTCCTGCTCGCTGCTCACGTACCTTCATCACTTTTAGTGATGATGCCACATTTGAGGAATGGTTTCCTCAAGGGCGACCCCCAAAAATCCCTGTTCGGGAGGTCTGCCCAGTGACCCATCGGCCAGCCCTATATCGGGACCCTGTTACAGACATACCCTATGCCACTGCGCGAGCCTTCAAGATCATCCGTGAGGCCTACAAGAAGTACATCACTGCCCACGGACTGCCACCCACCGCCTCAGCCCTAGGCCCTGGCCCACCACCTCCTGAGACCCTCCCTGGCTCTGGGCCCCGAGCCTTGCGCCAGAAAATTGTCATCAAATGAAGGGATGTCTGGTCCTTAGAAACCTCTTTCCTGCCCTAATTTAAGAACCTTAAGTTGGGGCTCTTAAGAAGCCCTGCTTCTCCCTTTGTCATCGCTGATCTTTGCCCAGCTCTTCTCTGTATTTCTTTCCCCATCTTTCCCCCTAGTTCCTACTGGTTTGTGTTTTTTAATCTAATAAAATAGAAAGATCCCTTTTGTCTGGTGTCCAATCTAGGGTTGGGAGCAAAAAGCATTTGTGAATGAGTTTTATATTTGTTTAATAGCTTTTATTATGAGTCATTCTTTTTATTCTTTATTTTTTAAGGATTCTTTTTTTTTTTTCCTTTCTTTTTTTGGCCACACCATATGGCTTGTGGGATCTTAGTTCCCCAACCAAGGATCAACCCTTGGCCCTCAGCAGTAAAAGCGCCTAGTCCTAACCACTGGACCACCAGGGAACTTCCAGAGTGGCCCTTTTTAAATTGTAAAATATTCACTCCTCTAACAGTTTATAAACACCTTAAAATTAGACACCAAAACAAAATCCTTACACTTAACCTCTGTATCTCCTTATAGTCACTGCTTTGAATATAGCAGGCACTAAATATTGGGTTAGCCAAAAATTTTGTTCAGGTTTTCTGTACGATATCATGGAAAAACCCAAACAGACTTTTAGGCCAACCCAGTAAGCATTAATAGGAACTGTGATTCGTAGAACTCCAGTTTCTGGGACTCAGGCTTGTAGGAAGGGGAGGAGGTGCCATGGCTGTTAGCGGCCACTAGAGGCTCTCAGGGCTGGGCAGGGTATGGGGGCTGTGTATATGTGATCTCCCACTACCCCCCACCTGGCCAGAGCTAAAATAATAAAATGCTGAGCTCACTGTTCCCCCACCCTCTCCCCCGGCACCGGCTCCTCCTGCTGCCCGGACGGTGCTCCAGCAGAACAGACAGACCAACCAAGAGCAGGGGAGGTGAGAAGGGAGGTGGCCCCCAGGACTGGTAGGTGGGGAAGGCAGGGGGCTTGTGGATCAGAGCCTGGTGGGAGACGGGAGGAGAAGAGTGGCTCCTACTGGGAGTGATGTGGAGTGTGTCTGTGTCTCTGTCACTCAGTGTTTCTGTCGCTGTCTGTCCTCTCCCTTAACTGTAGTTTACAGTCAATGTAAGTATCTCTCACATTTTCTGAATCTTTCATATTCAGCATGGTGTGTATGTGTGGCTTAAAAGATCATGCAAGTTTAATCCTCTCACTGTTTTTAGAGAAACTTTATCCCATATAGAAGGCAGTTCCCACCCATTAGACTGGTGTCACCTTCCCGTCCAAAGCCAGGGACAAATCAGTACCTTCTCCTAAGGCTGTACCACCCTTCCCCCAACCTGAATGTCTCGCAGGTCCTCTGAGCCCTCGCTTTCCCTCAGGATTTAGAATTTTAGCAAGCATAATGAGCTCTTGATCCCCCACAGTAAAAGGAGATGAGGGTGGAGTAAGAGCACTGTCTGTTTCCCCCCAAATCCTCCTTGGTTTCTTACACCAGTTTAGGAAAAACTGGATTACTGGATTAGGGGGAAGAGAGGCGGAATTTCCCTGAAGCTCTCTGCCTGCCCCCTTCCTTGCAATAGGAATTGGGCTTGGGGCCAGCTGTGATGGCAGGGCTCCTGGCAGCTGAACTAGGGCAAGAGGCACCGACAGGCGAGGTTAAGGGGAGGGGTACTGCCAGGGTTTCTGATACAATGGGGAGACAGGTTCACCCTGCATGCCTGGGATCCCCATCCAGAGTGGCTGGAAGCTGTGGAAGTGGGAAGGAGGCTCCAGTTCTAACTAAACAACCCAACCTTCCCCCATTTTCCCATGCCCAGCTAGATCTCTATCCTCCAAGGCAACCAGCTTATTTATTGTTCTGCCCCACTGGCTTGTCTGTTTCCCTACTGTCCGTGTACATCTTGCCATTGTCCAACCACTTTCTCCCTATAACCCAGGCTCCGTGAGTGCCACACAGTGGGGAGGGGGTGGGGGCCACCATGTCATCGTATCAAAAGGAACTGGAAAAATACAGAGACATAGATGAAGATGAGATCCTAAAGACCCTGAGCCCTGAGGAGCTGGAACAGCTGGACTGCGAGCTACAGGAGATGGACCCTGAGGTAGGGGCTCCAGCAAAGGGATTCGGGCAATCCCTAGGCAGTAGGAAGGGTGTGGGGCCCTGGGGGACTGAGACCAGGATGATCTACAGGGCTTAGAGTCCCAAGAAGGTCAAGGGAACGGTGTCTGGAGATGCTTTAGGGAGACCTGAAGGTGCCCCAAGCCAGAGGGGGGGCCCTGACTTGCTCTCCAAAACTCATCCCTAAGAACATGCTCCTGCCGGCTGGACTAAGACAACGTGACCAGACAAAGAAGAGCCCAACGGGGCCGCTGGACCGTGAGGCCCTCTTGCAGTACCTGGAACAGCAGGCGCTAGAGGTCAAAGAGCGTGATGACTTGGTGCCCTTCACAGGCGAGAAGAAGGGTATGAGATCGCTAACATCCATGCCTCCTAGAACCCAGTGGTGGTCTCTCACATGTCCCCATTCCAGCTTTCTTCTCACTTGCCCACTTCTAACTGCCAGGAAATCAGCTGCCTACACCTGCATGCCAACTTGTACTCTTCAGCTCTTAGAAGTGATCAAGGGGACCCAGGAATCCTGAGCTTGTAGATGACTCAGGCTTTACAGTGGCTCCTAGTGACCCAGCATTCTACCTCCTGGAGAAGGAAAGGAAGCTGGAGGCCAGGATCTTAGGAGAAATGACCTCGACCTGAACATCCTCATCTCCCCATCAGGGAAACCCTACATCCAGCCCAAAAGAGAAATTCCAGTGGAGGAGCAGGTCACTCTGGAGCCTGAGCTGGAGGAGGCGCTGGCCCACGCAACAGATGCTGAGATGTGTGACATTGCAGGTGGGCAGCTGTGGGCAGTTGAGTTGGGAAGATCTGGGGCAGGGGGTCGTGAACATGGCATGGGACTAGTGGGATGTGGATGTTTTGAGAAAGCCTCAGGTAGTGCTTTTTAATTTTTATCTATATATGTATTCACTCATTTTTAAATTTAATAAGTTAACATCTCAAGGGCGATTTTACAGGGATTATAAAGCAGAACTATTTTGGCTGAAAACAGGAGGGTCTGACAGACCCGCTCCCCCTGTAGAGGCTCCTTAGGGACCTTCCCTTAGCCCTGTCTCAGTGTTTTAAAAACCACCGCCTTACACAGCTTAATGGAAGGGACCCCGGGACCAAAAGTGGAAACCTCTTTGGAAGAGGTCAGGCTTCAAAAATGCAAAAGATTCAGAATGAGGTGGGGGGGGCCTGGAACAAGCCCGTTTTTCTCATTCCCTGTGCCCCCCTCTGCCTACTCTCTCCAGCAATTCTGGGCATGTACACACTGATGAGCAACAAGCAGTACTATGATGCGATCTGCAGCGGAGAAATCTGCAACACCGAAGGCATTAGCAGTGAGTGTGTTGGGAGCATGGCGCCCAGGGCCCCTGGCAGGTGTCCCAAAGTCTGAGCAGAGGTAGCAAAGGGTGAAACGAGGCAGTTAGGGAGGGGACATAATGCATAAGTGATAAGAGAATGAATGGGGAGGAGACGGGGAGGGACATGTCGGGGTCTCCCTCCTACCCTCACCCACCAGGTGTGGTGCAGCCTGACAAGTACAAGCCAGTGCCAGATGAGCCCCCAAATCCCACCAACATCGAGGAGATACTGAAGAGTGTTCGAAGCAATGACAAGGAGGTAGAGGAGGTGAACCTCAATAATATCCAGGTGTGATATCTGACCCCATCCTCTAAGCACTAACACCAGCCTAACTCTGCTGTCATATGAGTCCCCTGGCCCACCCTCTCCTATTTCCCTTTGATAGGACATCCCGATACCCATGCTGACTGAGCTGTGTGAGGCCATGAAGACAAATACCCACGTCCGGAGCTTCAGCCTGGTGGCCACAAGGAGTGGTGACCCCATTGCCAATGTAAGGCTAGTTGGCGTCCCTCCCCCTCTCCCTGCACCTTGACATGCATCCCTGGCAGGGCGGTCAGAAAGGCTTGTGCTAGGGGTGATATTCCCATCGACACTCTTAGGGGAGACCTGCTGGAGACTCCTCCCCTCAGTCCTTTGACTCACAGCTGTGAAATCCTGATTGTCTTCCTAAAGGACCAAACCCTCTCAACCACCCCCAACTCCACTGCAACGTCACCCCACTGCTTTCCCTACTACCTACCCTCCCTCTGCCTCCCTGGAGTCCCACCCACAGCTCAAGGACTCTTCTCAAAGAGCTGTCTCCCTCTCGCTCCTGTTCTTTCTCTCCTCAGTCATCTGTGAAACTGTACCCTAACCCTAATCCAAGTCCCTACTACCCAGGCAGTGGCTGACATGTTGCGTGAGAATCGTAGCCTCCAGAGCCTGAACATCGAATCCAACTTCATTAGCAGCACAGGGCTTATGGCTGTGCTGAAGGCAGTTCGGGAGAACGCCACACTCACAGAGCTCCGAGTAGACAACCAGGTCAGTCTTCCCTTTCCCTAATCTTTGCAGTCAGCTAATACTCACTGACCCTCTTCCCTGGGGCAGCCACAGGCGGGATCTCACCTGATCTTGTTTGAACTCTCCCTTTTTATGAGGGGAGCCAAGGCAGCACCTCTTATCACTCATTCTGGAGAACTAGCCTCTTTAACCTCCCAAAGGGTTGGTGGTCTGAGACGGTGAACAGTCCAGATGAGGGGTGCTGACGGCTTCCATCTCGCCCTCCCCCAGCGCCAGTGGCCTGGTGATGCGGTGGAGATGGAGATGGCCACCGTGCTCGAACAGTGTCCCTCCATTGTCCGCTTTGGCTACCACTTTACACAGCAGGGGCCACGCGCCCGGGCCGCTCAGGCCATGACCCGGAACAATGAACTGCGTGAGTAGCTGCAGACATGGTGCGTGGGGGAGAAGGCAAGTAGCTGCAGAAGCTGGTGGATGCCCCTGAAACCTAACTTAGTGACTGGCAGCCCAGGATGCTGCCAAAGTGACATTCACAGAAGTTCAAATACCACAGGTGACCCGAAAGTAGACAGAAAAACTCCTCTGCCCAAGTATACCAGTAGAGAGGCAAAAAGGAAGTTAGTCATAGCCATTTGGGACCATGTGTTTTTATTTGCCCTGTTGTTTCTTATTTAACATGGTGGGGGAGGAGCATGTTTGGTGACCTAAGACATTACCTCTATGAGTCTGGCCAAGAAACCAGAAAGGAGAAGAACACCTTTGCAGGGGACAAGAGATGGGATAATGACTTGTGCTTACTCTTCTTCCTTTACAGGTCGCCAGCAAAAGAAGAGATAACACTACCTTTGCCTTTACCAACTAGGGTTCGGAGCTTAAATCCTCCTCTGTCCCCCCTTTCCTGTAAATAAAGGCCCTACTGACCACTCTGCCTGCCTCCTTCCTTGGGCTTTGAAGTGGAAATCTTGGCGCTAACCCCCAAGAGTTACTGCCAATTCATCAGGGGATTATTTATACTCTGGGGATCAGCAGGCAGGGAGGTTCAAGTTACCAGGAGGAGGTGGGGGGAGCTCCCTGCCTTGGTGTTCCCCACAACCCTGCCAGGGCCTTTAGTCTCTTCTACTTTCACAGGGTGGCAAGCCCTGGCTCTGTTTCCAGGCATGTCCAACCCCTCCCCGCCGACCAGTGCCTACCCACAACCCTCATGTATTGGAAGGAGGCAAGGACTTTGAGTGGAGGTGGAGAAGAAAGCAGAAAACATGAAGGGCAAAAATCTCCTTCTGACAGACTTATTAATAGGGCACCAGGCTGCATGCAGCTGACGCTTGGCATGACTTTTGGAGAAGGTGGGGGAGGGGTTAGAAGTGTGGGGAGCTGTGTACCTTGCAGAGAAGAATTGGCTGGGCTGAGAATGAACAGATCTGAAATCCTGAAACAAGGAACCAGACTCAAAGAAAGCTGGGCTCCCAGCGCTTGCTGTAGTTTATTTGTGAAATGAATGGGGAAAGAGGATGTCAGTCCAAGGGGAGATCAGGGGGTTCCTCCTCATCAGAGTCAAACTCAACATTTTCATCTTTTATCCATCGACCTCGTCCGTCCGGGATCCATCCAGAGCTGGAAACATCAGAAAACAGAACTGGTCAGGAAAGGAAGTTTATTAAATTAATAAAAGCATGTGTGCGAGTGCTCTCCGACTCTGCAGTCCCATGGACTGTAGCCTGCCAGGCTCCTATGTCCATGGGATTTCCCAGGCAAGAATACTAGAATGGGTTGCCATTTCCTTCTCCAGGGGAATCTTCCCAACTCAGGGGTCGAACCTGCCTCTTGTGCACTACAGGAGGATTCTTTACTGCTGAGCCTCCTGGGAAACCCCAATAGTTCTATCTAATTAATTAATTTCCTGAACTATCTAGAAAAAAGTTACATATGTAAGGAGTCTGTGCATGCATGCATGTGTGCTAAGTTGCTTCAATAGGAACTGACTCTGTGACCCTGTGGAGTGTAGCCCACCAGGATTCTCCAGGTAAGAATACTGGGTGGGTTGCCATGCCCTCCTCCAGGGGATCTTCCTGACCCAGAAATCGAACCTGCATCTCCTGCATTGGCAGGTGGTTTCTTTACCACTGTGCCACCTGGGAAGCCCCATAGGGATAAGTAAAAACACTTGAGAAGATCTGAAACAAGGAGGGTCAGAGAGGAAAGGGAAAAACAAGAAAAATTCTGCATACTCACCTTCGAAGGGTGAGATAATGATCCAGGGCCCGTCTTCTTGTGGGACTCATAGGTGCGGGGGATGAGACAGTGGCTGACTCCTTGGTCTGTGAACCAGCCTCAGGCTCAGGTGCTCTATTGATCTTCCCACCTTGGGGTTCAACCTCTGGGGGTGGCAAAGGGGGACGAGAGACAGAGGGACGAGGGGCTTCTGGTCTGGACAGAGAAGAATCAAAGTCTGTAAAAGCAGTAAAGGAAAGGGCCTAATCTCCTGTGACTCCCAACTCCTTATAGAAGTGCTTCCCAATTCTGTGTTCCTCAAGATATTAGTAAGTGTTCTGCATAAAAAGAATTTTGGAATCCAGTAAATTTAGGAAAGGCTAAATTAATCTTTTAAGGGTTTTTAAAATTTTTATCTTAAGATTTTGTAGAACCCTTAAAATACACTAATTTTCAATCAAATAAGATTACAAAGCAGCACTTCCCAAACTTTTTAGTCACAAAAATCTTTTTCCTGAAATACAAGTTAACACCCCCAGAACACTTAGTATTTCTCAGATTACAATTAGGAAAATAATCACTTTAGAGCTATCTATCTCTTGTCCCTCCCTACCTCTGGCTTTCCCATCCCACTGACCTGTACTTTCGGCGGCAGCAACTGTTATAATGAGGAGCTCTGTGCAAAGCACTCTGAGTGATAAGTCGAGTCTGGGTTAAGAGAGGAGCCTGGCATGGAGACCAGAGACAGAGTCAGAGCCTTCAGAGCCAGAAACAAGCCAAAGTCCTTCAAGCCTCAGGTGTGCAGCACCGTCCTGCCTGGAACACAACTTCCCCTCTCTGATTACCTCTGCTGTGGTCTCTTCTCTCCTGAGTTCATTATGCTGTCTTGGATTCTGCTCTGTGCCCTTTCCTGGTGGCTTCTTGCCATAGAAAAGCTGCAGGCCTGAGGAGAAAGGGGAAGAGGATTAAAAGCAGAGCACCAAGGGTGGTCTGAAGAGGTTTTAAGGGTTTACTCTGTATCGACTGTCTTCCCAAACTTACTGGACAGATGTTTTTTGCCTGCACGGTGGGCAGTCAGCATGGCCAGAGTGTCCAGGACAGGCCGGTGGGGACAGATGGCACAAGCAAAGCTGGGGAGGAGGAAAGATCATTGCTCCCTGGGGAGTGGAGTCTTGGTCATAGGTCCCACCCCGTCCAAGCATTCATTTCCAAAGCCCAACTCCCAAGTCTCTGTCTCCATCACCCACATCCCTGTCACTCACTCACAGCCAAAGAATCCTAGATACTCCTGCTCTCCTCCTTAATAACAAAAGTTCTTGAGTCTCTAACTTCAAAACCCTTAAACTTGATCCACTCCTCGCTCTCACCGTCCATCCCGTAGCATCAGCGCCTCATCCTCTGGGATGTAACTGGCAAGCAGATCCCCGACTCTTCGTTTCTGCAGGGGACAGGGGAAGAAGTCCGGACGGGATCAGCTGGATATGAGGGAGGGATAAAAGGGAAATGATAGAGAGGAGGACTCAAAGGGCATAAAGACCACGGAAGAACACACATCTGCGGCGAGGAAGGGGTCACCACCACGTCTAGTCTTTTGGTTCCCTCCGCCCCGCCCCCCAGCTGTTGCCAACAGCAACAAAACAGCTCCTTTACAGCCTTCAGAGGGCAGGTGAAGCTGCTTCGGATGCACTCCTCTCCGCCTACTTTGAGCACATTGAGTTGACTCCAATCGTCTCCTTCCCTCTTGAAAGACATCACGACTGTGAGCCCCAGAAATCATAAACTCTATCCAGCCGCCTTCGCCACTCCTTTCAGGCCACCGTAGCGGGAGTGGGACGTCTCCGTTCCTCCCGGTCTCTTTCCGGCTGGCCCCCTGACTTCCGGGGATGTGCTTCCACGAATGCACTGCGCGATCCCGGAAGCCAGCGTCTAGTCGGCCGAGGGGGACTGCATTTCCTATGGTGCCCTGCGACCTCACCGGCGCGGGGCCTTTTGGGAAATGAAGTCTTTTTTCAAAGAGCTTGCCGCCGGGCTGAATCCAGGCCCATTCGTCTTGGCAGATTCGAAGCGTTTGGAACGACAAGAACCTAGATGTGGAGCCCGAATTCGAGAGTGTCACTGATTTGGTTTGGAGAGTACCTTTGAGGATCTCTGAAGGGGAAAGAGTGCTACAGACTCTCGCTATTGTCACGCCCTTCGCCTGCAGCCACAGCCCACATAGGGTGGGCCTGATCTGTTCCTGACCCTAGAGGGCCAACCCCGGGACGGGGCGGAGTCGGGGTATTGGGGATCCAGGAGGTCGGGCTGTCAGACGTAGGGGAAAATTGAGTTGCGTGTTAAGGAGGCTGATAGAGTTCAAAGGTCAGGGGTCAACGTCGCGAGCTGTTGTGGGGAATCGAAAGTCGGAGGGGTGCTTAGGAAAGATTCAGGTAGGGACTGAACAGTCGGAGTACAGATTTGTGGGAAGGGAACTTGGAGGGAGGAGAAGGTCTGACAGGTCGCGTGTCGCCGGGGGAGGCGGGGAGACTTAGAGAAGACTGAAGGGGAGAAGGATCCTGTAAGATACCCATTTTCGGACCGCGAGCCCGTCACTATCGGTCACTTGGCCGGGCCTCCCGTAGTTGTAACCTCAGTTGTCCGCAGGGTAAGGAGATGGCTTCTCCCTCTAGACAGGCCCCCCTCGGGGGGTCAGGACTGCTTCAAGGGAGCCGGGCTCGTTCTTATGGAAGCCTGGTGCAGTCTGCCTGCTCCCCGGTGAGGGAAAGACGCCTGGAGCATCCGTTGGCGCCCGGAGACACCCTGGCTGGACTAGCACTCAAATACGGGGTGACGGTGAGTCTTCCAGGATTGGGACGCAGATATCCACTTAGAAGAGGTTTATTCCTCATGAGAATGTATGGCCCTCTAGGCAACTTCCCCTGAAATGTTCTTAATTGTGTTTATATTAATTAATTGTGATAAATTGATTGTGATAAAGGTTTGGTCCACCTTTATCTTTTTGTTTTCCCATGTCAGTGTTGCACTGTCTGGTGGGGACAAATCCTGTCCCATTATCCCAACGGAGGGGAGCAGCATTTATTTACTAGGCCAGTCACTGTACTAAAGACTTTGCATCCATTTGCCCATTTGATCCTCACATCCCTATCAAGCATATAATGATTGTGCCCTTTTTACAGACGAAGAAACTGAGACTTAGATTGGTTAACTAGTTTGACCAAAGTCAAATAACTAATAAGTGTTGACGTGAAAATTCAAACAGGTCTGTCTGATTACAAAGCCTGTACTGTTAACTACATAGAAATATTTTAATTGAGAATGACTAAACATTCACAGCCAACAACGCAGAGCTAGTTTTTAGTCTGAGGTTCCTTAAGTGCTGTCTCCTCTTGTTCTTTTCTCCTCCTCAATGCTCTGCCCTCTTCTTTTCAAGAAGGTGGAAGGTGGTCTCTGGGGTACAAAACAGGTGCTGTCTGTGCCAAGCATTTCAGCTCATGCATAGGGTATATTTATTTAGTAGGAGTAAAAATACATTGCTTTAAAGTTGATAAGGGTCTTCCCCTATATCTTGTTGAATTTAGGCAATGTTTTTCTGCTTGGTATGTTCAAAGCATGGTGGTAACCGTCTTGGGAGATAGAAACATAAATGTGTAGTTGCTGCTCTCATGTAATTTACAGTCTAGTGAGAAGTGGGCAGGGACACAAATAATGATTGTAGGTGACAGAACGTGGTGAGTTTGTAGAGATGTTAACAAAGAGTGGGAAGTCAGGAAAGAAGATTGGTTTTTATTTGGAAGGGGACATTAGTGCAGACTTTAAGGGAATCATCACAATGGGCTTTCAAAGACTTGGAGATTCCTTTCTCTATGCTCCTCTCTATAAACCTATGTAATCCAGTGATCTGCACCCTTTACATCTTTATCTTTCCAATAGCTTGCATTCTAAGGGACAGAACTATTTCTTTTCAATTTTATATCTCTAGAGCCTGACATGGAGAAGGCAATCGCACCCCACTCCAGTACCCTTGCCTGGAGAACCCCATGGATGGAGGAGCCTGGTAGGCTGCAGTCCATGGGGTCCCTAAGAGTTGGATACGACTGAGCAACTTCACTTTCACTTTTCACTTTCATGCATTGGAGAAGGAAATGGCAACCCATTCCAGTGTTCTTGCCTGGAGAATCCCAGGGATGGGGGAGCCTGGTGGGCTGCCGTCTATGGGGTCACACAGAGTCGGCCACGACTGAAGTGACTTAGCAGCAGCAGCAGAGCCTGACATAATCCCCAGCACATAGAAGCTTAATAGATGTTTTTTGAATGAATGAAAGTCTGGCTAAAATTTCCACACTGTGAGACAGGGAGTATAGTAAAGTGCACATTTAAGTAGAGGGATGACCTAAATAAAGGAAATGGGTTTGAAAGTACTGAGCAGTCCTTTCATCTCGGCAGAGGCTCAGATGCTGTGCAATGAAGGAAACTGCTACTAGTGAATCAACAATTATTGTTTGAGAGGTTTTTCTTACTGCCCTGTATCTTTCTGAGTACAGAAAAGCTCTGTAGTCTAGTAAAGAAAAGTTCTAGGTTTTGGTTTCATTCTGCTACTTACTAGCTGAGTGACTGGATAGTCAATCACTTTACTGTCTGGGGCCTCAGTTTCCTCACCATTTGTACAATGAGAATAAAAAATAAACAACTTAGGTAAATAAATTACCTAATTTATTACCTACCTGTCATTTAAGGAACACTTAGTATATGCCAAGCTCTATTGTCTCATATTATATCCATAAAACTTTATGAGGTAGATGTGACCATTTCCATTTAAAGATAAGAAATATCACTATGTGGTACATCTGAAATTAATATAATACTGTAAGTCAATTATACTTCAATAAAAATAAATTTTTAATGATAAGGAGACTGAAGCTTTGAGAGATAACTTGCTATAGACTGTATACAACTAGTCTAATTGTTAGAGCTAGGATTCAGACCAAGTTGTCTTGTTCTGAAATCCTCATTTCATGGGACTTCCGTGGTGGTCCAGTGGTTAAGACTCTGTGTTTCCACTGAGGAGGCATGGGTTCAATCCCTGGCCTGGAACTAAGAGCCCATATGCTGTGTTGCATGGCCAAAAAAATAAAATCCTCACTTTGAACTGCTCTATTAAACTAACTAGATTCTAACGACCTTCTAGCTCTTGGCTCGAAGGCAGAGGAACAATGTCCCATATATGGTACTTCTGGGAAGTAATAAAAGCAACAGAAAATTCACAAATTAATTCATGTCGTCTTGGAACTAGAAGGGACCTAGGATATTATCTAGGCAAAATAAAATGAATAGCATTAAAGTACTTGGCAAAGTAAAAGTATAAAACTGCAAGCTGCTTTTAACTGTTTTTACTGTTCAGATCAATCCAATTTTATTTTTAAACTCATTATAGCATAAGATTTTATTAGTCAAGTTTATTTTAGTAGTCTTGGCCTAGAGTGGAAACAGCTTTGATATTGGACAGTTATAAGAATTATGATCTCCCAAACTGGTGCCTTTATGGGATGAATTTTTAGTAAAACTGGCTGCCCGGCCTTGGGTAATAAAATACTGATACACTGTGTCTGTGGTTTCTATATTTTATTATCTAGTTTCTTTACTCATAAAGCATTAATGAGCCTCTGCTCTGTGCCAAGTTTGTGCGATGTTGAGGAGAATCTTAGGGATACAGAGACAGCAAGTCACCAGTCTTGCCCTTAAATGACTCACAGTTTGCACAGGACAAATATGCCTACAGTATAATATAATAAGATAGGTATTATTATGGCAATATTTACAGTATGCATTGGGATCCCTGAAGAAGATAACACAAAGGGAATGGTAGTTGTGGAGAAGTTTTCCAGGCCAAGAAGGGAGCAGTGGTGAAGCATTCCAGGCAGATAAAGCCACAAAAGTGTGAAAGATCATGAAATGTTGGAAGAAAAATAGAAAGTTCAGGATGGCAAAAGGTGTAAGTGGCAGAAGAAGGGAGGTGTGGCTGTACTTCCTATGAAGGCAAGATTGAGAATGCCCTTGAATGGTAATTTGGATTTTATCTCTGACCCAGTGGGGAGCCATAGAAAGTTCATAAGCAAGGTAGTGGGTTGATCAGGTTAAATTTTTTTTAAAAAGATATATGTCAGCAGGGTAGAAGATAAGTTGAAACGGAGGGAGGAAGACCAGTTAAAAAAGTTAACAATACCCAAATGAGACATACTGAGTCTGTTCTAAGTCAATGGCAATGTGAAGCTGAGACCAGAGATGAGAGAGATTTTTGCAGCATTTTTGTTGACCCCTTGGGTATAGATGGTGAAAGAAAAGTGTGAGTTAAGGATGACAGTGATACTTCTACCTTGGGAGGCAGGTAGATATAGATGGTGATGCCAGCCACTGTGTTTAGTGATGAATAAAGTAGGCACTAAATAAATACTTGATCGGTGAAATTATTAATATTATAATATTAATAATATTTATTAATTAATCCACTGGGACTTCCCAGGAGGCCCAGTGGTTAAGGGGGCCTTAACCATTACAGGGGGCATGGGTTCCAGGCTTGGTCGGGGAACTAAGAGCCCACATGTCTTGCAAAATGGCCAAAATAAATAAGATAAGCATTCCTGGGAGGAGTAAAAAGGCTCAGAGTTCTAGCTCTATCACTAGCTTGCTAGGCAAGTAACTTAACCTCTCTGAGCCTCAGCTCCTTCATCTTTATGGGACATTGCTCCACCGCCTTTGAGCCAAGAGCTAGAAAGGCATCATAATCTAGTTAGTTTCAAAGTGAGTTCCTTCATTTTTACAGTAGTTTCAAAATCTAGGGGTCCCTAAGACTCTTTAGGGATCCACAAGGTCAAAACTATTTTCATAGTAATAATAGCAAGACTTTATATGTCTTTTTTATTTTCATGGGTGCACACTGTGTTTTCCAGAAGCCATGTGACCTGTGATACTGCAGCAGATGCTTGTAGAGGCAGATATGAGAAGCCTGTTGTCTTCAATTAAATCGGACATGCAAGTGATTTACAAAAATGTAAAACAGTGCCTCTGTTCTTGCTACATGTTCGTTATTTTTGTTTTAGAAAACATATTATTTTTCATTAAAATATTTATGTTAACATATAGCAGTGTTTTAAATTTTTAAAGTTTTAATTTATAATAACAATAACTTAAATATTGTTAGATGTGATTAATATAAGTAAAAGCTTTTTTCCTCAATATTTTTTTTAAATGTAAAGGGGCCCTAAAACCAAAAAGTGTGAAAAACTACTGATCAATAAAATAGGGATAATATCAGCCCTTTATAATTTTGGTTGTTATAGGGCCAGATAAGACTCTGAACAATCACTTTAAAAGGCATGAGATGAAAAAAATAAAAAATAAAAGGCATGAGATCCTGTACAAGTATAAGGTGGATTGTTATTACTGTCATTAATTGTGGTGACTTTTTTTTAAAGATGGAACAGATTAAGCGTGCAAACCGCCTTTATACTAATGACTCCATCTTCCTGAAGAAAACCCTCTACATCCCCATCCTGACAGAGCCCAGAGACCTGTTCAATGGTTTGGATTCTGAGGAAGAGAAGGATGGAGAAGAAGCAGTACAGCCAAGTAAGGATGAAGTTCAACCACACTCAGCTGAGAGGAAGAAACGAGAAAGAGGTTTAGGCCATGCCAATGGTGAAGTCCTTCCCACACCTGGCCAGGAGCCCCCCACGCATGACCTTTCTGCCTCCGATTTCCTTAAGAAGCTTGATTCACAGATCAGCCTGTCAAAGAAGGCTGCTGCCCAGAAGCTGAAAAGGGGAGAAAGTGGGTGAGTCTTGAATGGGTCCTTTTAAGTCCCTCCGTAAATTTCCCTGTTCCCCCAACCTTACCTGATCAGACACAAAGTAAGCCCAGTGTCAGTAGAAGCAAGGTGAAGCCTTTCCCTCAGGTGGCCCCAAGACAATTCGCAGAGCCCATGGCTGTTGGAATGGGTGGAGGCACTGGAAAATGATTCTGAGTTCCCAGGAGAGGGAAACAGTTGGCTGTTCTTACTGCTCTGATGATCCATGAAGGAACGTTAGGGTTAGGATTTATCCAGAGGGTGTTGGACTACATCGTAAAGCAACCAGTTCATGTACATTAGAGGAAGACAGCTTCCCACTTACTTCTTCACTCAGCCCACCTCAGTTTCTTCCCTTGATCTGTTGCTCTTTCCCCCTTTTCCTTGCCTGCAGGATACCTGGGGAGGATTCAAGTCTTCACCTGAGCTCTCCTCGGATGCAGCAACGAGCAGTCCTAGGTCCCGTGCCACTGACCCAGACCTCTCGGACCCGGACACTTCGGGACCAGGAAGATGAAATCTTCAAACTCTGAGGTCCCCAGAATGGATTGAGAGAAGCCAGATGCTGAAGGAGCATCGTGAGGGAGAGAGGAGCTGGAGGTGAGGCTCAGGAACACGGCTTCCCAGCCTATCTCCCCGCACTCCTGCCATCTCCCCAGCCTCCTTGTCCGGCAAGAGTTCCTTGGCCTGGAGCAGTTCTATTGGCAAGGGTAGGGGATGGGAAACAGACCCCTTCTCTGTTCTTGGGCTGAGTCTAGAATTGGTCTTTACACTCAAAAGGTCTTTTACATCCCTGCTGCCCTTCCCGTCCCTTTCATGATTCCTTGGCCTTAGAGCCAAGGGAGGCAGGGACTCCCCTAGCCCTTAACTTCCTCCCCATCTCCAACTCTGTTACCTAATTTATTTGGTGCTATATTGAAGTAATATTTATTTGCTGTATCTTATTGTTACCCACTCTTAGCTGAAAAATGGGATTTCTGTAGCCCTGGGATGAGGGGAACCCAGGAACAGTGAGCCAGTGATTTCTAGTCCACCTTCCCCACCTTCTTAGCCAACCATTTTATTGAGCATGGGCCATCAGTGATCTAGCCCTGCTGCAGGGAGTGGCAGACTGTGCCGGGCCTTGCCCCCAATCTCAAATGAAAGAATCTGGGCTTAGTCTTGACTAATCAGGTCACTGTAACTTTTTCACAACTCTTGCTCTGAGAAAAAAAAACAACAGCAATGTAGGGCCCGGAACCCTCCGTGCCACCAGTTCACCTCTCTGATCTGCTCCTCTCTTCAGCCTGTGTGAGACTAAGGGATGGCAGAAGAATTGACTTGGAGTTTGAAGAGGAAGACAGTTGTGGGAATCTTTTTGCCATGGGAGCCTCTTTGTTATACCCTCTCCCTACCAGAGCCTATTGATCTATGCCTTGCTCCTCACTACGTATTTATTTGCAATTTGTAGCACTGATCTGTGGTTTAGTTTTTTTGAGTGTCTTAAACAGAAGAAGTAGGCAAGGAAACCCTAGTGATATTGGAAATATGCCTCAGTCTCCTGTATGGAAATGGTGAGAGGTGAGATGAGTGGTGTTTATATACCTCTTCCCTCTGTGATGGTCATAAGATGTAAGAAGCTGGAGAGATTAAACATTGAGCCCTGTGCATGTTTTAATAGTTTTATTTCCTCTGTGAGACTCTTCCCCGCCCTAGCCCCTTCTTCCTGCCATCTGGAGCAGAGCCTCTGGGATCCCTCCAGACTCTGCCGAGATCTGAAGGTCTAGAATGTCTCTCAGGGTCCCCTTCCCCCCAGCTGTCTTTAGTGTCCCCAGAAGAGTTAGCTGGGCTGTGCCCTCTTACCCTGGTTCTGAGGTGAGGGGGCTTCCCTGTTTGAAAGGCCCTTTGCGGGGAAAACAGAGATCCAAGTTTCACTTCGTCTTTTTCAGGCAGCTTTGTTTCCGGTCTTGGGGCTGGAGTGGGAAGAGAGGCCTCAACCCTCAGCATTGCTTCTTCTCCACCAGGAGTTTGGGGGTGGGGTAGTCTCAGAGTCACACGCACTCTCGGGAAAGACTGAAGCCTGAGGATTGAGAAGCATTAGTGCAGAGGCGCAGGGTTAGAAGCCTGGTATGTGTAGTTTTCTCAGTCGGCCATTCTGCCCAGAAGGAGCGCGCCGGGGCTGCGGCTCTCAGAGCTTGCCCTCGTCCAGCAGCTTCCTCAGCCCGTCGCAGATCTTGCCCAGGTGCTGGGTGTAATCAGGCCCGTAGAGGGCCGTGAGCAGGCCGGCGTCAGAGAAGTGATCGAACACGTGGCGGATGCGGCCATGGGACTTGGGTGTGAGGTGGCGCTCCACCAGCTCCAGCAGCATGTCCCGGCACTCGGTCAGCAGGCTGGCCAGCACGGCGGCCTCGAAGGTGAAGTCCACCTCCCCGAAGCTGAGTGCTGTCATGGCGCCCTGTCGCAGCTTCTGGCGAAAGCGGGTTGCCAGGGCCAGCTCGCTGGGGTTGAAGCAGCCACTGCGGTGCAGCACGGCCACCTTGACCGCCACCTTGATCAGGTCCTTGATAACCCGCTGGGCCTGGGGCCTGCTGCGTGTGTATTCTTTGGACACACGGTAGAGCTCGTCTAGCACCTCGCTGCTCGTCTCATCCACCAAGAGATGAGCCACAGACCGCCCTGCCATCTTACTCAGTAACTTCTTCTCTGCCTGTAGCGCCAGACTCTTTGAACTGAAGGACTCCATGGTTCCCAGGGAAGGGTCGGGGTGGGGGGGTGATGTGATCAGTCACTAGAAGAGAGGCCATAGGCTTCCTTAGCAAGAGAGAAATAGCTTTTCCCCTTTCTGTCTCTTTGGTTTCTGTCTCATCATCATCTCTGTTTGTCATCTCTTTCCCCCGGGCCCCCTCAGTCCTCAACACTTTGTTCCCACTTTTCCCTTTAGGACTGTGGGACATCATGATCTCTAAAACAGGCCAGCAGAGCCATAGGAGCTTTAGCTGGAGGGATGAGGGCATAGCCCAAGCTAGCCCACCACAGCCAAGACCTCAAGGGAAGTGGGTTGTTGCTCCTACAGTAGGGAAGATAAAGCTTACCTGGCAGATAGCTCTCACAGCTGCCCTTTCTGGACACTGACTGGGTACTGCACCTACACTGTGAAGTGTAGGTATTACTGTCTTTGTTTTACAGCTGAGAATACTTAAGCTTACATTAAATAATTTACCCAAGGTCAAACACAACTGTTTTTCTGACTCTAAAAGCCCATGTCAGCTAGTGTGCAGTACTGCCTTTAGAGACAATGAGAAATACAGGGGTCCCTGGAGTCCTGATTAAAAAATAATAATAATAATTAACATTTATTGAGAACCTACTGTATGGCAAGTACTTCATGTGAATTATCTCAGTCTTCCAACCCTTTGTAAGGTAGGTATCCCCAATTTGCAATGAGGAAAATAAAACTAAGAATAATTAAGCAATTTTGCTAAATCACTGGCAAATGATAAAAGTGGGCCTTGAACCACACAATCTGAAGAAGCCTCCTCCCGTGGAATGCTGTCAATGAGGTGGAAGCACGCTGAGGAAGCATGAGAAAGAAGCACCTCAAGACTGCCCCAGAGGGCTCAGGTCCTCTGCCGGGGCTGCACTGAGGCCCTGCTGGCGGCACATGAGTACCTGTGTCCCGGAGCACTCTCCCCATGGTCGTGCCTATGGTGGTTCTGCTTGTTTTGCTTCTTACTTCCCCCTCCCCTGTTCCTCTGCAGGATGTGGCTCTGACCGCAGTGAGGAGCAGCCTCGCCCTGTCCCCCAACCAAAATGGGAGTCTGAAGAAGCAGGGGGGGTGTCACTGGGGTGGGGGGTTCTCCCCCAGCCGAACCAGTCCAGTGGAAACCTAGAACCTTGCTCTGCCCCCAGCTTTGCTGGGGCTTTCTGGACCACACTCTGCAGCCGGAAGAGGAGATTGCTCCATGTGAGCCTTCCTTCCTCCTCGGCCTTCCTGTTACCCTGGTCTCCACTGCCTCCGTTGCCATCTCGCATTTGGTCCACTGTCCTCTCCCTCCCTCCGTGTTTCAGTCTCCTGTTTTCACTTGACAGTGCTGCCCTGTGACCCCCTGGCCATACTCTCTCACTGGCCCTTACATCTATATCCATGTCTCCTAAGATCTCCTTGCATCTCTCAGGGGTCTCTCACATGCCCTTATCCACCGCCATCCCTCAGCCCTGCGCACCCACCCATCCAAAACCATGTCTTTCTTTCTGAGACTGCTTTACTCCAGGAAAAACTGAGCTGGACCTCCCCACTGAGACTCAAGAATTCCATCAAATGAGAGCCACAAGATGGAAAGCTCAGGTTGACAGCTGGGGCTCTTCTGCCACCATCTCCCCTGAAGCCTGCCCTCTGTCATTGCCCAGTCCCTCACCTGCTGCGCCCTGGGTGCCAGTCTCGCCTTGAATGTTCCGGTAGAGCTGACAGAATGGAGAAGCTCCTAAGTGAGAGGCCCTTTGGCCTGGCCCCACCCCCAAGCCCCGCCTACCTACTCTGTGCTCAACCTCCGGTTCATCACAGTGTCACCAAGAAAGTCCATGGCCCCAACAGCCTCCTATAAATAAGACAAAGGTCAAAAGGAACAGCATTCTGTAGGAAACAGTCTTGATTCCTTGAGGTGAGGAGGAGGAATTGCACATCCCCTGTTCCCAAATTATCTGCCTCTTTCTCCTCTTGCTGCCCAGTTCCTTGAGATCTTGTTCTCCTTATATTTCTCTGGTACTGGGGAAAATGTGATGTACAAATTGCTGGCATGGGGGTCGGTGCAGAAAGTTCTGAAGATTGTACTGAACTTAGACCGGAGACACCAGAAGCAAGTTAGAGATCAGCAGGTCTGAGTGTGCCCCTAGAGCCACCAAGGAGGGTTGGTGCTGTGGGGCAACATTACCAGAACAGGCTTCCAGTACCTGGCAGGGTAAGGGTGTGCATACATGCTCAGTCTCTCAGTCATGTCCAACCATTTGTAGCTCATCAGGCTCCTCTGTTCATGGGATTTCCCAGGCAAGTATCCTGGAGTGGGTTGCCATTTAATTTTCCAGGGGTAAGTGTGTCCCCACCCCTAATACTTGCACTTCCCTGGTGGCTCAGATGGTAAAGAATCTGCCTACAACGCAGGAGACCTGGTTTCCCATCCCTGGGTCGAGGAGATCCCCTGGAGAAGGGAATGGCAACCCACTCCGGTATTCTTGCCTGGAGAATCCCATGGGCAGAGGAGGTCCATGGTAGGTCCATGGGGTAACAGAGAGTCGGACACGACTGAGCGACTAACACTTCTCTTCACCCCTAATACTTGAGAGGAAGATGCTGGGTCAGGCTGCAGAACTAGATATGACCAGCAGGTGTCAGCATATCATCGTACCACTAGAGGCAACGAGCTCATTGACTATGCTTCATAGCTGCTAAGAGGATACAAAAAATGAAGGTAAGTCACAGTCTGTAAATGAGGCAAATTTATTTACCATCAACAACCTTACAGCCTGAAGAAAAAAAAAAAGGGGAATCTTACAGCCTAGTCAGGGAGATAAATGTAAGCACATACAACTGTAATACAAGCCAAATGATGTCATTAGCTTTAATAGAAATTTAAGGAATTAAGGAACTGTGAGAGTAAAGAGAAATTTATATATATATATTTTCTAATAGGAATGCTGAAGAGGTAGACTTAGAAGGATGGATTTAACTACCTAGCAGGCAGAGTGTGGAAGAAATGCTTCCCAGATAATGGAGATACGCATAAGCCATAGAGCAAACAGAGATTCAAGGCATATTCAGGAAATGGTGATTTATTCTGATGACTGGAGCATAGGTTGTTTGAAAATGAAGTGAAGAAGGAAAAAGACCAGATCACAGACGGGTTTAAGGGAGCTGCTCAAGACTTCAGACTTTTGCCATAGACAGTAGGGAGACATTAAAGGTTTTTGATCAGGGGAGGGAAATCATTAGCCCAGTGGGACTGAGTTAGGGGCTTCAGCAAAGTTTTAACTGAGGAAAGGGGACACTTAAAAGGAAGTGATCACCAGTATAATTTTCTTAAGCACACGATGAGAACCGATGAGAGGACTTGAGATCTGGGTTCAGAAGGTATTAGCTGTGTTTGCATCTTCTGGTATTTTCACTCCTCTTATTTTCCAATTAGATTATATATATATATATATATATATATTTTAAGGACTTTTACTTTTTAAGAAAAGTAAGTGTTCTGGCAGAAAAAGAAGAATGGGAAAGATGTCAGGTTGTGAAATGTTGAAGTTTAGAAGTGGAGACAATCAGCATACCAGTGACTCCAAAACCGTTGATTCTCTCCTTGGAAACAGTGACTGGGTCTTGGCTCCTTTCTTACTTCCACCTCTCTCAGCCCAGGTTTCAGAGCTGAGGGTCCTTGATTGAATTTGGATTGGAAATGTCAACAATGCCTTAAATGAATGTGTAGGTAAAGGCATTAAGAGAAATGGAAAGGTAGCTTAAAGGGATGGGAAGCTGGATTGAAAGAAGGACTATTTTTGGCTTGGAGTTTGAGGACATTTGTAGGTTGAGAGGAAGGAGCAGTGGAGAGGGAGGCTTAGAAAATGCAAAGGAGAGGTAATGTTTATGGAGCAAGGCACAGGGGCAGGCGGAGAAGAATGGACTGGGAGTTAAGGGAAGGGAGAGGAGAGAATAGGAGCTGGCATTTGTTGGGTGTACTCTGCTAGATGTTATATAAATATCTCACTTCATCCTCTGATACCTCTATGAACTAAATGTCACTATATTCTTTTTACCAGTGAAAAGGACTGAGCCTTGAAGAGGTTAGATAACCTGTTCCCAAATTAGAGAACTAATAAATGGCAGGCTGAGGACTTGTGTGATTCCCAAGCCTATGCTTTTCTGACAATTACCTCACAAGGTTAGGAGGTAATGACTTCAACCTCATAATGAATGTGGCAGCATTCTATTCCTGTGTGCTCTATTAATTCATTAATCACACACTTGGGGGCCAATAGTAGGTGGCACTGTCAAAATCACAGGGAAAAGTAAAAGTCCTTTTATAAAAGAAATATATAATACAATATAATTGGAAAATAAAAGGAGTGAAAATACAAGAAGATGCAAATACAGTAATACCTTCTGAAGCCAGAATTCTACCAATTCCTTACCTGTTTACCTCTCCAGCTTTACCTTATACCCTGGTCTGTGTTGCAATCCTCCCAGCTCCTCCAAAACACATCATGGCTGGCTTCTCTCTCCTCCCCTTCTCCCTCTTCCTGCGCTCTCCCACTTTTTGTCTCTCTACCTGGAACTCTTCCCATGCATACCTCTTCCCTGCCTGGTTAATTCCTAGCCCTCCTTCAAGTCTCAGCTGGAAAGGCGTCTGAAGCCATTGGGTCTGTGAAGCCATTGTGGCTCCCCAAACTACTTGTGACTCCTCTGTTCCTAGTCCTATAAAACTACATACCTTCTTTATCATGACAATCACTCTTCATTTTAGTCTGTGATTTTATTAAGGGCCTCCTTAACTAGGTTGTAAACTCCATGAGGTGTAGGGGTTATGCTTTAGTGTCTGGCACTACTGTGTTCAATAGATATTTGCTGAAATAAGACATTCAAAACACATCCAATAACCAGGAGATAAGGGGAAAATGGTAGCAACATAACAGTCACATGCAATAATGTTAATTTGTTTCATTACTGTGGAAGTCTTTTGTTTTCTCTTGGACTTCCCCTGT